TAGTGATATTGCAGGTTTTTGACACTTCCGGGTTGGCTTCATTTTTCAGGGCCGGTTGCTACGTCCATCTTTTATACAGTCTATGATTCTGCACGACAACAGACATAAACAAAGAATTATTCTTGAGTTTGTGTCGATTCTTGTAAGCTCCTGTGATTGGACGTACCTGAAACCTTCATCGTGCTGCTTCACGGACATTCAGTTGTTGTTATTACACTATTTTCTAGTTCCAAGTGATAGCTTAGCAGCTAGCATTGTTAGCATTTTTAGCGTTGTGGCCACTTGAAAAGTGTTGACCACGCTGATTCCAACTTGTGTTTTAATTGCTGTTAAATGAATAATGATATGTTTTCTTATGGCGTTATAGTTGAGTTTCTCTACTCGTAGTCTTGGTTGTGTTGTTTCTATAAAGCTGTCGAACTAAATGTCTGCGGTTCGAGTTGCTCTACCTTTTTGTTGGCTCCTGATTGGGTTTTTGCGTCGCCGCCTGTCGTCCCATTGGCCGGTTTGGCGTCGCCGTCCGTCTTCTGTCCGGCTGTGGCGTCGGGCTGCTCGCTGATCTCTGCTGCTGTTGATTTCAGACGTAATTATTCCCGGTTAGTCCGACCTCGTCTGTCTCAGAATCACCTTCCTGCTTGTAACTGAGCTGCTTAGGAATGAAACACGTCACCTCTCTGCTCTCCGTCCGGCACCGACTCTTCTTTCAGCTCTTCGGGCTTCGGGGGAAGATCACATGTCACATGATTACGTGTGAACTCTTAGTTTTAACCAACAGGAATCTACATGTTCAGTTCAGCGCTGCATATTTACAGAACTCTGAGTCTCCTCTGCTGACTTCTCCGTCGAGGATGCAGACGCGTCGTTCTCCTCTTCGTCATCACCAGCGATGTCCTCGTCTTCCTCCTCCTCCTCCTCCTCCTCTTCGCCTTTACTCCACGTCAAATCCTGATGAAAAGAGAGTTTTAAAGGTTAATCAGGTTAATTTATTCTGGAGGGTTTTCTTTCAAGAAGAACAAAGATCTAAAGGAAGTGGGACAGGATGCAAACTACCACAAAAAACTACTTTGATCTGCATGAAAACAGAAGCTCTTGGACTTAATCGAAGCGACAGGCAGCGCTGGAGTGATGGGAGGAGCTAACGCTGGGATCACGAGCACAAAAACGAACCTGATCCGTCAAACTCTCAAACAGAGGAAGAGCTCCTCCTGCTTCTTCAGATTTCTGGGAAGTCCTTCAACAGAGAAGCTGAAAGTTCTTCTTCTCCGTTCTGCATAAATTCTTCTAAACGTGTAACTCTGATGCACAGAGATGAGGTTTTGTGGGACTTTAATACCATTCATGCTTTAAAATGTTGTTAACGCTTCTCTTGGCGACGTACTTTTAAGCACAGAGCCCCTAAAATATTGTTCCTACAGCGACTTACAATCTGTGATTATTGTTTTTGCATTGCGGCGTTCTAAAATTAACACACAACTTGATTTATTTTTTACAGTTTTATGAGTTTGTAGGTGGAGGATCAGGATGATGATGATGTTTATTTGGAGAGATTTTGAGATAATTGTTGGATTTTTATGAGTAAAACAAAAATAAAGTAAATTATTGTGACTTATTTAGGATGCTGCATGAAATAAGGGCATCGACAAAAGATTAAAGCCTGATGAGTGCCAGAACAGAAGGACAAACTTCTGCTATCACTGCTGCAGCGTGTTGTTTTGTTTCACTTTTCTCATTAGTTTGTATGAATAATGTTTCCTCGTGTGGACTTGATTGTTTTTTTCCAGTTTTAATTAATTAATTCTGATGTTTTCAGGTTATTTTTTTAAGATTTTGAGATTAAAGTTGAAATTTATGAGGAAAAAAAGCCCTTTAAAGTCCAGTTTTCCTGAATTAGATTTTATATGATTACAGGTTTATGATGCTGCATGAAATGATGTCATAACAACTTATCGATTCACCAGAAATTAAACGATAATATAATGTTTTTTTCCTGCCACATCAAGGCAAATCCGACTGCTGCAACTCGTGAGTTTGTTCGATATGTTTCAGTAAAAAGAGGCAGAAAGACGATGAAGTGGGAAATAATTCTTCTCTGCACGTTAACCTGAAATTAATTTAATAAAAATAACACAAAAATGACCTAAATTAGATAAAAACACTTTTATTACAAACACAGAAATGAAAAAACAAATAAAGTCCCACATCCCTTATAAATAGTTCCACATAAGAATGAACGTTTTCTTTTTTTATTTGCCAGAAATTAAGGCTGAAGGTCGGAATAAATAGTTTCATCCTGGAAATCCGACTGAATTCAGGTTTTTATCAAACATTCTTTTGTGCAAATCAGTGTTTTAAAAAAAAATCCCACAATACTGAAATGAAACGAACACAAATTAACAGAAGCAGGAAGAAAACACAAAATAGGAAAAAGACGTAAACATTTAAAAGCAAAACTTCAAAAGAATTTCAGACATTTAGAGACAAGACGAGAGCAAAAGTCTGGCTGGAATGACAGAAGCAGCTCAGAAAGCAGCCGATTAATGTATTTACAACACGTGAAACAGACGAAGCAAAGAAAGGCACAGCGCAGGAAAAGAAAGCAACAAAAAGAATTCAGGTAAAACAAGAAAACTTGAGTTTAAAATGCACATTCAGATAAACTTTCTGGACACTAAAAATCAGGGAAATCTGAATAAACACCCAATTATTGGTGTAAAATCTTAAAATATGTCGGTCAGAAGCTGCCAAAATGTCTGTTTCTTTGGTAAATCGGGATTTTTTGGAGAAAAGTTTTTGAAATTTAGGGAAAAAATGAGGTAAAATGTGATTTAAAAATTCTAGTAAGCTCATTTAAACTACATGAAATAGTGTGGATCAATAAAAAAGATGAATTAAACACATAGACCTGAATTTCTATAAAACTGCAGCAACACTAAAGATCCCAGGAATTACAATAAAGACCCAATTACTGTATTTTTTTTTGTAAAATCTTAATATTTCTGGATATTTACGTAACATGTGGCTTGAATATTTAACACAAGTACAAGGAAGTGTGTTTAAAATCATTAACATTTTGGTAAAACTCACCAGATTAATGAGGAAAACACAACAATAGTATTAAAAATTAGACAAATATCTGAAATCTGAAGTAAAAATCCTGAAAATATGAATAAACACCCACATATTTGTGTAAAATCTGAACCACGTGTTATCAGCTGCTTTGAATTAAAAACTGGCAACTTCAATAAAACGCAGAATTTTGCGTCTTTTGGCTTTTGGGTGTAAATTTTATGTATTTTTAGATGTTTCCGGCCCTGAGTGATGGAGTTCTGTCATATTTTAGGAGGATTTTAATCGGGCAGCGTTTGATTGTGTTGTTTAGTTTGTGTCTCACCTGTTCTTTGTGTTTTGGTGATTTTCTTTGCAGATGACACGACTCAATTTTTCACAAAAAAAAAAAAAAAAAAAGCCCTTCCTTCCCTTGTAGCATAATTTCCGATATGATCATTGATGAATTACTGATTATTAACTGATCATAAAGTGGAACTAAAATAAGTTTTATTTTAACTTTATTAATCTCAAACTGAATTCTTGACTCTAACAAAGCAACAAAGCAGAATCTCTCTTTGGTTTCAGCTTCTCCAAACTGGGACAGTTTTCACCATTTTCTGCTATCTGGTGGCCTGATTGATTGATTGATCACTAAACTAACAGACGTATTGATCAGTGACGGTTTTATTTCAGATTTAGGTATTGAGGTAAAACGTCGTCCCAGAACTCCTCTGACTCGGCGGCCGCCTGACCTTTGACCCGTGACTTCCTGGTTTTAGCAGATTTAGCACTTTGTCTTTTCCCTTCTTTGGACTTTTTCTTTTTGACCACCTCCTCCTCTTCCTCCTCCTCCTCCTCTTCCTCTTCTTCCTCTTCCTCTTCCTCCTCCTCCTCCTCCTCCTCCTCTTCAGCCTCTTCATCATCCTTGCTGCTTTCTTCGTCCTCCTCTTCACTTTCTTCTTTCTCCTCCTCCTCCTCCTCTTCTTCTTCATTTTCTTCCTCCTCTTGTTCCTTTTCTTCTTCACCTTCTTCCTCCTCCTCTTCTTCTTCCTTTTCTTCCTCTTCTTCCTCCTCCTCTTCTTCTTCTTCTTCCTTTTCTTCCTCTTCCTCCTCCTCTTCTTCCTCTTCTTCCTCCTCCTCTTCTTCACTTTCTTCCTCCTCTTCCTCCTCCTCTTCTTTACTCTCCTCCTCCTCCTCTTCTTTACTCTCCTCCTCATCCTCTTCTTCATCCTCCTTACTCTCCACCTCACTTTTTTCTTCCTCACTACTCTCCTCCTCCTCTTCTTCCTCGGCACTACTCTCCTTTTCCTCCTCGTCTTCCTCCTCGTCTTCCTCCTCTCCTCCCTTTGCCTCGCTCTCCGCCTCACTTTCACCTCCTTCCTCCGACGACTTCAAAGACTCACCCTCCTCTTCCTCGCCTTNAACAAATGTTGACTTTCTGAGGTCTTGTTATTGTAATTGAGTTGAATAAAGTTTAAAAAGACGCAGAAATCACAAATAAAACTAAAGATTTGGGACTCCTGAGGTCACGGTTCTGACTGACGTTCCTGTAAAATCACTCTGAGGCTAAAGTTTGAGCTTTCTGTGTTACATTCTGTCTCTCCTGCAGACCGAGCCTCCACTCGCTGAAGTTCAGGTGAACGCTGTGACGACCCGACGGTCTCCACGACGGGCCGCATTCCTGCGCCGCCCTCGCCGACCTCTGACCTCGGCGGTGTCGGAGGACGGAGCGTCCGTTGGCCGATGAGAGCGCGTCTTTGTTGGAGGATAAATACGTTCCTCACGCGGACGTCCACAGACGGCAGCATTGTTCTGAAACACTGAGACTCTGTGCTGCTGCTGCTGCTGCAGGAAGACGAGTTCCTGGAAGTCACGCCGTCGTCGTCGCTCATCGACCTGAAGCTCAGCGTCGGAGTGAGGCCTCGAGTTTGGTCGCATATCAAACCGGGATCCAGAATCATGACTTTGACTGACTTTAATTTAGTTTAAATTCAAAAAGAAGCTCAAGACAAGGATGGAACTTGTCGCCTTTCTTTGAGAACTGAAAGATTTAGTAGAGAAATAGTTTATTTATGATTTCCAGCAGTCACAGTAGATTTTATTTATCGTATAACACAGTAAACAAAGAGCTTCATGTACATTTTGGCTGATCAGGACTCTGTTTTCTTTTTATAATAGAAAATGGCTTTAATAAAGTTTTTAAAAATGAAAGTTTTAAAGAGAAAAGCATCATTTCTATCATGTTGCTCAACATCAGTTTGATTTAGTCATTTTCTAATAATAACTATAAGATTTTAGTTTTATGTTTTATCTTTACATAGTTTTAATGAGTTTGTTCTTTTTTATCTCATAATTTGAGCTTAAAGTTAACTAAATAAATTCAGAGTATTATTCAATTTAAATCTTTTTTTTTTTACAATGTTGCATCAATTTTACTTTATTTCATTTTTTAATAATCTTAGAATTGTTTTAACTTTAGTATTTTTTTAAAAGTTTACATTAAATTTTATTATTTTTTTATTTCATAGTTCTGACTTCTTGTCTGTAAGTTCTACTTTTAGGTTGAATGATTTTATTTTGAAAATCCTACTTCCCTTACACCTTTTAATGTTTATTTATTTTTCTTTTTGGGGTTGCCTTGAAGCTCATTTTGCATCTTTTCAGGCCGTTTCGTGTTTGTTTCGTGTCTGTTTGTGGTGATGAAGGAGACGTTTTTCTTCTTTAATTAATATTTAAAGCAGAAGAAACACTTTAAACTCCTTCGATTCGTCCGTGTGATGATTTGGATGTTTTAAAATGTAGAAGAACTTCAGCTAACGGCGAACAAACTTCATTTATGGGTCCGTTTTTATTCCAGTGCAGACGTTTCATTCCACGACCCCGGCCTCTTTCTTCTTCTTCTTCTTCTTTGCTGTCGTGTCTCTGTCGGCGTGGTTTCTCCCGGGAGACGGTCGAGGCGTCCTCGGAGCCGAGCCCAGCTCCCCCGGGCTGAGCCGTCGCCGTGGCAACCGGTGAGCGCCTCCCGCCGGGCCGCGAGAAAAGGCTGCTCGGGTCGCTGAGTCACCGCCTGGCAGCCGAGCGCAGCCCCGAGATTAACTCGCACACGGTGAGGCGCTCAGGGTTCCTTTGTCCAGGGCTTTGTTTGTTTGTTTGTTTGTTTGTTAGTTTCAAACAGGTTTGCTGCCATCATGCTGTGACCTCTGACCTCGTCAGTATTCACCGATGAAGCCAAAAGCTCCACACTGGTCACATTCTGCGTCCTTCTGAGGTCGTTTCTGATCGTTTCACGTCTTCTTGTAGGTGGTTGTTGTCATTTGTGGCTGTTTGTGTGTTTACTGGTTGTTTCCCGTCGTTTTGGTTCCATTTTAGAAGCATCTTCTTTGGTAAATTAAAAATAAAAAAAACTTTTTCAAAGCTTTATTTCATATTTTTTGTGTCTGTGATCGTTTTCCATCTGTGGATTTAAAAAAAAAANTGACTCGACCCTTCCTCGCTCTGCTCCTCCTCTTCCTCCTCCTCTGCGTCTCCTCCTCCTTTGCTTTCTTTCTCGTCGGTCTCGGCTTCGCTTTGCGTTGCTCCACTCGTTCTCTCCTCCTCTTCCTCCTCAGCAGCGCTCTCATCTTCCTCCTCCTCGTCGACGTCCGACTGATCTTCTGGCTTTAGAGTGTCACTGTCCTCCTCCTCCTCCTCCTCCTCTTCCTCTTCATCTTCTTCTTCATCCTCTGTTGCTTTCTCAGCATCCTCCTCATCCTCGCTGACGTCGGCACTCGTCCTCTGGCCTTCCTCGTCCTCCTCCTCTTGCCGTTTGCTCCGACTCGTCTCCTCCTCGTCCCGACTCTCTGCGGGACTCTCGGGTGCCGGTATGATGTTGATGCTGACGGCCGACTTGTTGCTCAGAGCGAAGGATTCTGACTCTTCGCTCCTCGACTTGTGCTTGAGGAGGCTGCTGTCGGAGGGCGACGGCGTGCTGAAGCGACTCACCGTTTCTCGGATCAGGACCGACCCGGCTGCGAGCGAGGCGACGCCGGCGGCAGCGGTGGTGAGCGCACCGAGATCCGGCGACTCCTTCCTGGTCTGAGCTTCTTTCCGGTTTTTCTCATTCTTGGACTTTTTGGATGAGTCTGTGCTGGCTTTGGGTTTCTGGTCTTGAGAGCTTCCGGTGCTCTGCTGGTCGCTCAGGTGAACATCCTGGCGTTTGCTTTGGACCGCCACCGGCTTCCCTTTAAACCTCACCGGTTTGGACTCCTTCTCTTTGACTTTTGCAGCTACAGATTCAGAGCTGCCACCTAAAACTGTCTTTCTGGCGTCTGGACTTTGCTTCCTGCCGACGCCGATCATCTGGCTCTTACCCGGAACCGGCCGATGGCGCTGTTTGGTCGCTGCCTTGCTGATGTCCCCGACGCTCGGAGGCCTGTTTTTATCGGACCTCCTGCCCAGCTCCTCCACCGCCAGGATCAGATTCGCTTTGTCCTGCTTGGTTTTCTTCTGCCTCTGCGAGCTCTGGGAGGCCGGAGACCGAGTGCCGTGGCCCCTCAGGAGCTCGGTGGGCAACGCCCGGCGAGGCGAGGCGGCTTCACTCTTACGAGACGGTGAAGCGGAAGAGAAACTGCTCTGCTCTGACGGCTTCCTGTCCTTTCTCTGCTCTTTGACAGCCTTGCCATTCTTACCCTTCCTCTATTTTCCGGCACGAGAAAGCAAGGAGAGGATGAAAAAGAGGCATGCATTAGAGAAAAAAAGACGTGCAGGAAAACAAAAACAAACAACAAGCAAAGGAAAGTTTAAAGGAGTTATGAATAAAGTCAGTCGGTTGGTGGTGCGTGAGGTTGTTTCTGGTCTCAGTTGATGCTGCAGAGAGATAGTAAAGCTAAAAAAGGTTCTTCAACAACAGGAAGACTTAGAGAAGCTGCTCTGATGAAGGGAATCTTACTAAACTAAGATTTACTTGGATTGTTGGGATCATCCACGAATGTCCACAGATTTAGTTGCATTTTTCAGATAAATGTTGCTTCAAACTTGGTCTTTTACTCTGAATACGAGTCAAACTAACACATCCATCCATCATCTATACACCTTAATCCTCACCAGGGTCATGGGGGGCTGGAGTCTATCCCAGCAGACTCAGGGTGAAGGCAGGTTCACCTGGACAGGTAACCAGTCTATCACAGGGCTACACTTAGAGACAGACAACCAAGCACACTCACATTCACACCTACGGACAATTTACAATCACCAATTAACATCAATATGTTTCTGGACTGTGGGAGGAAGCCGGAGAACCCGGAGAGAACCCACGCTGCACGGGGAGAACATGGAGACTCCATGCAGGAAGATCCCGGGTGTCCTCACCGGGACGTGAACCGGCGACCTTCTAGCTGTGAGGCGACGACGCTAACCACCGAGCCAAACTAACACAATGCTAATTTAAAACACATACATTTGTGGAACTAAATGTCCCAGATTTGCTGGTTGCAGCTTCTCAAATGTGCAGATTTAATGCTTTTTATGTCACATGTGTACTAAACTGGATGTCTGATCAAAAACAGCCACTGCCAAGCCAAAGCCAAGTATGTCATATTAAACAACAACAAAGCCGTAGAGTTTGTACTGGCTCTTTTGTGACACAGTGGAAACGCTAAACAACTAGAACAGAAACCAGAAACAACCTCAGAAACCAGCCGGATGAAGCTGAAAGTGTAGGATGAAGTTAGGAGGACGATGACGGTAAATAAATCAAATGTGTGACACAGAAAGAGTCTCGTTTACCTTCTGAACCGGAGACAGAGTGAGGGTTTTATCGCCGGGGTCCATCTTCATCACGTGAGTCTGTCGGGAGGAAACGGAGAGCTAATGAGCTTAACGTTTTAGTTTTTATTTTTGTCCGAGGACAAGAGTGAATTCAGCGATCCGTCACCATGTTGAGGAAGTCCGTGGTTTCCCCGAGGCCTCTAACGCTGTCGGTGTCCGTCGGACTCTCCGCGGCGCTGTCGGAGTCGGCCGCCGCCTGCTCTGGAAACAGGACAGCACGGTTCTGCAGTGTTATAAGGTTTCATGCTTTAAAGGCGGCGAAACAGGATGTTCAGGAGAGTCATGCTGCCTTATTAGAGGGTGGTTAAATCGGGTTTTATCTCAGTGAGGGATTTAAAATCTAGTATTTAACCCTTTGAACCTCTGGATGTCGCCAAAAATACACAAAAACAGCAAAAACCTAAAGAATCCTCAAACTTCTGACTGTAAAAACGACTAAATCTGAGCTTAAAGTTGTTGTATTTCACCAAAATCACTTTATTCAGCGAGTCTTATTTTTAAAAAATGCCAATAACAAACCATTTGGGATAATAAAATTCTGTGCAAGACAAAACATTTCCTGCTCCTCGAAGCAACCGAGAATTCACGAGTGACTCAGCTGCAACCAAACGGCTGTGTCGCAAAAATTGTGAGATGTACCGGCCGGACTGCATCCAGAGTTTAATCGGAGTGAGCAAACAAGACGATAAACCACAGTGAGGAAAAATGTGAAAGATGGCCAGAAAGTGGTCGAGGATCAGAGAGTTAAAGCTGCGCAGGGGTGAAAATGAATGTTGTAGAAGCAGACAGGACGACAGGAGCAGCTAAAAGATGATAAAAAAGACTTTTGCTAGCATGTGTGAAACGTTGGTGGAGGAAGCAGGTGGAGGTGCTGTAGGTACCCTGGAGCGGCGACCCGGAGCTCCCGTGCTGGTGAGTGCCGTTCAGCACCTTCCTGTGGCCCAGCTCGGCCGGAGGCAGCCTCGGCGGGGCGGTCTGGCTGCAGACCGGCAGTGGCTGGAGGTAGCCGGGTGTCATGGCGGGCAGCGTCCGGAACAAGGCGCCAAACTGGTCCGGGGATCGCTCCTGCAGGGTCGGGATCATTATTTTTAGTTTAAATACCTACATTATGCAGTGCTCAGAAACATAAAGGGAACACTAAGATAACACATCCTAGATCTCAATGAACAAAGTATTCCAGTTGAAAAACTTTATTCATCACATAGTGGAATGTGTTGAGAACAAAACACAGTCGTGACCCGATAATCCGACACTAAATGTAAAACCTTCTTCTATGTCGGATATCAAGGCTGTCGGATTGTCAAGACGGAGGTCCAGATACGAGGAGGGCTTGATGCTGGAAGGCTCATTAGTTGTTAATCATTGTCTAATATCTTTGGTCTAATAACTGGTGTATTGTTGGAACACTACGCATCGCTGGATTTCACACCTAACTGAGCGGTGCGATTGTTCCGGACACTTCCACCCCGGGGCAGCGCTCTGACGGGGTGGAAGTGTCCAGAACACACAGGCAGTACTTGGCTGCTGATGCTAGTTTAGTTAGCGCTCACACTTCTGTTTCCTCCATCGGTGGCGGCGGGGGAGTGGCAGATACGCTCCACCGTTACCATCCATGTTTACTTCCGTAAACACTGAGCACGCTCGCTGTGTGTGACGTCGTCGTGTCCTCTTCTGCGCATGCGGGACACTTTTGGCTCGTATGAAGTTCACACAGCAGATCACATACAAGTCGTATTGAACTGGAAACGTGAAGGAAGTCACAAAGAAATCGGATTTGACAAAAAAAAAAAACATCATGTCGGAGTCAGAATCCAAGGCTGTCGCTATGTTAAGGCTGTTTTTATGGGTTCTGTTTGTTTTTCCTAAAAACCTGTCGGATAGCAGGTTTAGGATTGTTGGGATTATGGAGTCACGACTGTACTGGGAAATGATCAACGTAAATCTGAATTATTATCCCATGGAGGTCTGGATTTGGAATCATACTCAAAATAAAAGTGGAAAATCACATCACAGGCTGATCCAGCTTCAGTGGAAACTCCTCCAGACCAGTCAGACTGAGGCTCAGTAGTGTGTGTGGCCTCCACCTGCCTGTAGGACCTCCTTACAACACCTGGGCAGGCTTCTGATGAGGCAGGATGTTCTCCTGAGGGATCTCCTCCCAGACCTGGAGCAAAGCATCATCAACTCTTGGACAGTCTGTGGTGCAACGAGACATCATGTCCCAGATGTGCTCCGTTGGATTCAGGTCTGGGGAACGGGCCGGCCGGTCCATAACATCAATGCCTTCATCATCAGGAGCTGCTGACACACTTCAGCCACATGAGGCCGAGCATTGTCCTGCATCAGAAGGAACCCAGGGGCCCACTGCACCAGCATATGGTCTCACAGTGGGTCTGAGGATCTCATCCTGGTACCTGATGGCAGTCAGGGTACCTCTGGCTCGCCCATGGAGGGCTGTGGGCCCTCCAGAGAAATGCCTCCCCACACCATTACTGACCCACCAAACCGGTCATACTGGAGGATGCCGCAGGCAGCAGAACGTTCTCCACGGCGTGGATGTGGGGCCCTCAGACCATCTCATGGACTCTGACAGTCTGAGCAGAAACATGCATACTAGTGGCCTGCTGGAGGTCATTGTGCAGCTCTGGCAGAGCTCCTCCTGGTCCTCCTGCACAGAGGAGGAGGTGGCATCCTGCTGCTGGGTTGTTGCCCTCCGACAGCCCCCTCCACATCTCCTGGTGTACTGGCCTGTCTCCTGGTATCTCCTCCAGGCTCTGGACACTGTGCTGAGAGACGCAGCAAACCTTCTCGTACTGATGTGTCATCCTGGATGAGCTGCACCACCTGAGCAGCTTGTGTGGGTTGTGGACACCACCTCATGCTGCCTCTAGGGCTGAGAGCACTGACAAGATGCAGACGTGACCAAAACAACAGCCAGAAAGGACGAGAACAGAGACATGGTCTGTGGTCACCACCTGCACTCCTTTACAGGGGTTGTCCTGCTACCTGCCTCATCTCCACCTGGCGTCTGCTCCATCTGCACAACAGCAGGTTTGCTTCCTAACTGGACAGGCTGGTTTCACACAAGTGTGACTGACTTGGAGCTACACTGCGTTGTATGTAATCTGCTGACAGTTCATCAGACAGCGGCCGCTCACCCGCTCCCTCCGGCGAACCCGGGCGGAGAGGCTCCTCTGCAGGGTGGAGGAGTCCAGCGAGTCCCCCAGCAGCTCCACGTAGGACTTCTCCAGGTAGTCCTCCGTCACGTCATCGTCCTCCAGCGTCACGTCACTGCAGCTGCCGTCCCTCGGCCGAGCCAGCACCACCATGTGGCAGCCGCCGCAGGCCGCCTGGAGGCAGCGCAGCACAAACACAGATCGGCCTCAGTCAGTAATAATGAAGTCATATAAAAATAACAAGACATACAGAGAAACAGATGTGCACATTTCAATTCAACTAAAAAATTAAAAATATGTAGGATAATAAAAAATGTGCATAAATAAAATGATAAACCATATATAATACATTTATAAAACCACAAATATTAAATACTATTTTGCAAAAAACAAACAAAAACCAATAATAGGAAGTTCATCAAATACAATCAATGTAGGAAAATAATTTTAAAAAATGAAACAATCATAACTAAATACACATAATACTCAACTATTTTTTAAAAATCAAAAATTGTAATACAAAAAAATGCAAATAAAAAAAACATAAGACGTTTTGCTTTTTTCAATTCAAGTTTTAAATTTAATGAAGTCAAATTCATCTGTAAACTTTATGCACAAATTATCACATAAATAATAATGAATGAATAAATAAAACCACAAATTATTAAAATATTTTTTTAAATTGTAAAAAAAAACAAAAAAAACAACATAATTAATAAAGAATATTTTTAAATGTAAAATCACTTCCTAAACAATAAGAAAAACTTTTAAGTGGTAAAAAAATAATAAAAAATCGAATTTAATGTCATTTCTAATAAAATCGTGAACTCAACACTTGATAAATAAATCTTTTTTTGTTTTTGTTTTTTAATCGTACAACTTAAACAGAAAATGGAAAAATAATAATAAGAAATGAACAAAATAAAAACTTTGGAAAATGGGTGAAAAATATATAATATTAATTTTCTAAGTAATTTATTTTTATTATCTAATTTTCTAGAGAAAGAATTTAAAACTGTAAAAAACTTTAATATGAGAAAAGTTGCATAAATAACATTTTTTTTCCATTTAATATTTTTAATAAAATCATGAACCTTCACATTTTTCCTCAGTATTATTTTATATTCCACCATCATAATAAATGAATTAAAAGTTGTGGAACACTCACGGCTCTGACGCTGTACTTGAGGAACCGCGGACACAGCGTCGGTTTAAACTGGTTGGTGAAGTTTTCTTCTCCCAGACACAGCTTTCCGTGACGTCCGTCTCCAAACGTGTACAACAAGCCTCCGTCTGAAAACAAACCGGTGGACATGTTGAACCGTGTTGCTGGTTCAGGAGGAGCTGGGCAGCATCCGGCCAGGTGTGGCTCACCTGTGATGACGGCGGTGTGGTTTTCTCCACAGGCCACCTGACAGACTCGTCCCTTCTTGAAATGCTCGACGGGTCGCGGCAGCCGAGACTCGAAGATAAACGTGCCGTGACCGAGCTGTCCGAACTGACCGAGGCCGAAGGTGTAGACGTCGTCCTCTGGAAGACACGTCAGCAGGTTCAACAGGTGCGGCGACAACATTTATCTAAACACGGAGGCTTCGTTCACGATGAGGCCGAGAAAACCTGACGTCAGGAATCAGGTCGGAGCTCAAGATTTAACCTGTTTAAATGTCCACATGACTCAGAACTGACAGAATGAACATTTATTCTTATTCTAAGATTAAAAAGCGTTGTTAAAAAGTTAATATATGAAATCACACACATGAAATATAAATAGAATAGATCTCACACACAAAAAAAGATTTTCTCCGCTTGACCACAATGATTTAAACATGATTCACAGGGTTTGGTTTGAGGTTGTGTCTGCTGACGTCTGTCTACTCTTCTACATGATGTATTCGAACAGTTTTTATACTTCAGGAGGAAAGAAAATGTTTTTTAAAAAAGAAAAAAACTCAACAACACAAAATAAACACAAAGATATTCAACGAAAAACGCAGTAAAAATGATAAAATGCACATTTACTAAAAAACTAAAATAGCTTCAATAAATGTTTTCCGAACAATAAATAAAACATGAAATAACATAAAAACATAAAAACATGGTGATAAAGTTCAGGCTAAGTTTTGTTTTGTCTGCATGTTTTTTACATAAAACACTAAAACTCTCCTGGAACGAGCCTCAGCAGCATTAAAGGATCTGAGAGACCGACACATGTTCTCCTGCAGGTGTGTGTTGTGTGTTTACCCGTCAGCGCCACCGTGTGGCCGCCTCCACACTCCACCTGCTTCACGCGCTCCTTGATGCTCTTCACCAGCTGAGGGACTCGGTGTCCCGGCAGCTGGTCGGTGCCCAGGCCCAGCTTCCCGCTGTCCCGCTCCCCGAAGGTGAACAGAGCTCCGTCCACTGAGGACACATGAGACAAACACAGTCGAGTTCATTTCATCCATCGAAGGCTCAGTGAGCTCCGTGGTCACCTGAACAACCAGAACCTGAAAAACGAGGCTCAAGGGCCACCAGCTCATATAATAAAATATATATATCAGTAACTGCATTTGTTGTGGAGCTTTAAGCGCCGAGTTGATGGAGTTTGTTTTATTATAATATTCACAGTGATTGTTTGTGTGTCGTATTATTACAAGTTAGTTTTGTCACAACCGAACTGACGAATCGCATCTTCTGATGAAAACCACAGAAAGTCAAATGTTGAGGTTGTGTTTAAAAAAAAAAAGAAAATCACAAAAATGACATAAATAATAGAAACACAAACAAAAACTTAACATAAAAATGCATAGATAAAAAAAATTATTTTAAAATGTTTTTGAAATAATATTTTAGCAAATAAGTTAACATTTTCAGTTAGATTTTAATCAAAAATATGAATAAATTCTCATCATATTTCTGCTTAAAGCCACATCATGGCCTTCATCAGCAGGTAGAGTTTGTTTAATTACCTTTTTTTTTTAATTGATTAAAAGAAACTATTTTGAAATTTACCAAAAATCAATTGTTAAAATAACTAAATAAATGCAAAAAACTAAAAATCTAAATATTACAGTAAAGATAAAAAAAAATCTTATTCTTTTGTGGTTCTTTAAATCTGACTTTAATAAAATTACTTTTGGTAAAAAATAAAGGTGAGGTTTTCCTGCAGGTATTGTCGGTTCCTTTCTGCCGTCTCGTGTTGTTGGCTCACCTGTGACCAGAGCAGAGTGATAATATCCACAGGACACCCAGCTGACCGGCCGTCCCACGCTGACCTCCTGCGGCGAGGACGCCTGACTCTCCTTCCCCAGACCGATCTGACCCTCGGTGTTGTCGCCCCACATGAACAGCCGCCCGCTCGCTGCAACAGAACCATCAGGTAACAATAAAAACAAACAGTGAGTTCGTCTTTTACATTTAAAACGGGGCACACGCAGGACTTCTCACCTGTGAGAGCGGCGGAGGTGTTGGACCCGGCGGCGAGCATCCTGATCGGCCCGTGTGCGTTGAAGAAGTCGACTCTGTGGAACGCCGTCCGCTCGTCGCAGTCTCCGAGCCCCAGCTGACCTTCGCTGTTCCCTCCTGAGGCGTAAACTTTTCCCTGAGCTGAACGGAGGAAACGCAAACGAGTTTAACGCTGAGCTGCAGGTAGATGAAGACGCACCTGAGAGCGGGAGGCTGACCTGTGCAGACGAGCGTGTGGTTCCGTCCACAGGCCACCAGCTGAACCTTCTCCGACTTCAGAGCTGAAACGAAGAAACCAACAAGAAATGGTCGGTTCAGACACAAACACTCTGATTTCTGAGCTTTAAAACATTCAACAAGGTCTTTAGAATCAGAAATAATGATCCCCGACAGGAAAGTGATCCTCCTCAAAGTCTGAGAAAAACTGTGGAAAAATCAAATGATAAAAATAACTAAGAAAAGCATAAGTCAAAAAATATGTCCTAAAAATATGAACATATTTTGAAAAATACGTAATAAAACATGAACATAAGTAAAAAAAAGTCCTAGAAATATAAAAATATATCTAAAAATATTTCCTAAAAATATTAAAATATTTTTTACAAATATGTCATTAAATATGAACATAAGTTAAAAAAAATCTTAAAAATATAAACAATGTAGAAAAATATGTTGTCAAAATATAAACATATGTAAAAAAAAAATTAAAAAATAAAAATGTCATAAAATATAAACACAAGTGGAAAAATAGAAATATGTCCTAAAAACATTTTAAAAATTTGAAAAATACATCATAAAATATGAACATAAGTTTAAAAAGTAAGAAAATAAAAACATATGTAAAAAAAAAAGTAATAATAAAAATATGTCCTAAAATTATAAACACAACTAGAAAAATATGTTGTAAAAATAAAACATAAGAAAATCAAAATGTATGTATGAAAAAAAGTCCTAAAAATATAAACATACTTAGAAAAATATAAGCATAAAATGTAAAAATGTACATTGCACTATGAAGATTAAAATAAAAGTATACCGTGTGATAAATAATAGTTATAATTCTGTTATTATTATTATTATTATTATTATTATTATTAATAATAATAAATTGCTAAATTGTCTTTTAAGCGAGTTAGCATGATTTAGCAAACCCTCATCTGAAAAGCTCTCATAAGCAGACTTGAGCAGGAATGATTTAGTGTGTTTGTGTGTCGTGTTCCCACTTTGCCGTCTTACACAGAACGACAACAAGCTTTTACAGAACATGCAAACAAACATGAGTTTATCTGCTGAGTGAAGCCTCCTTTATAAGCAGCAGCAGCAGTAAGAGTCGGTCAGTGTGTCTCCAGATTAAAGCCGATTACGGACCCTCCAGATTGGGATTACAGTGATGACAGCTCAGCAGCTCTGTTTGGTTTCTCATGAAAGAAAACGGCAGCACGCTCTCTGTTTCAGACTGAAGCAGCGAGGAGGAGCCGCTGAAACACCGACCTTTGACACAGGTGGGTTTGTTCACTGTCAGCTTGGAGCCCAGACCCAGCTGACCCCAGTTGTTGCTGCCAAACATGAAGAGTTTCCCGTTTTCTGTGGAGACACAAACACACCGCAGCGCGTCTCTGAGGGGCTTCAGTGGAACATTAAACAGCTAATCATGTCCAAGTGTGGCTGAAAAAAAAGTCTCCGTTAGATAAATCTGGACTCGAATAAATAAATAAAACAAAAATCAAAGAAAACGAGATGATTTTACATTTTAGGAACATAAACGTAGAGATTTATATGGAAAACACAAGAACTAGCATCAAAAAATATATAAATTGTTGAAATAAAAACATTTTATTTGTTGACTTAATCTAAAACATACAAGTGTTATTTTATAAAATCCAAAAACTACAAAATGTACAACTAAAAAAATCTCAATTCAAAGTCGCTGAAAAAGACATTTTTATATTATTATGTGTGGCTTACATTTTATATATATATATATATATATATATATATATATATATATAAGATTTCAGTCTTATTTACTGAACACATCAGAAACCAGGAGTTAAATCAGGATCTGAAGCATCTAAATGCTAACATCTCCTCTTCTTACCCGTTAATAAGGCCGTGTGTTCGTCGCCGCATGCTATCTTCAGTGGAACGTCGTTCTTGAGCCAGAACTTACTGGGAACGTTGTCGGCAAACTTGCTCTTTCCAAAAGTGAAAACTGCCCCCGAGTCTGTGAGAAAAGAAAAAGAAACGACTGAAAGTGAATCATGGAAACAGAAAACAAACGAGTGGCTGAAGTTAATGATCCACTGAAGCACAACTCTGGGACACGTCTCTTCATGTTGATTTATTATCTCACAGGTTCTTCTTCTTCTTCCTTACTAATGAAACAAATCAAACGAGCTGGAGGATTTACTTTGAGCTGTGGACGCTTAGAAGAGCGTTTGCAGTGATTGTAGATATTTACCAGCAGCTCTGAGGACCACGATCGTCTCAGACCACTGTTCTGACACAGGAAGGTCATTTGGGGTTTATTTTAATGACATTTGTATGAAATGTCCTGGTTTATTAGCTGCATGGGAATAAAGTTTTTCTTTATAATTTACAATCACAATCACATCAAGCAGCAGTAGACAGAATTCAAAGCATCAAAAATAGAGTTTTTAGTATTTTTCTTGTACTATTACTGATGCATTAATGTGTAAGAAGTATTTTAATGCTGTAACTGATTCCATTGGAGATTAATTTTACTTATTTTTAAACTATTTGATGATTTAAACTGAAACAATGCATCAGATTTAAGCTGTTAAATTCTCACAGTAGCTACAGCTGTTGGATAAATACAGTAAATGACAAATGACGAGTTAATGATTTACATTTAAAGATATTTACAAGCGAAAATGAAGTCAAGAGAAGCAGAAGGAGGTGGAATTCTTAGCATCACTGACAGAAATGTGATTTTATTATCATAATCTTGTACTATTACTGTATGTATGAATGTGTAGGCAGCATTTAAAGGTTGCAACCTGTTGAACTGAAGTGAGTTTTTTCTTGTTTTTATCCTGTTTGCTGGTTTAAACGATAACAAAGCCTCATCTTTAACCATATTTATGTGCACACAGCAGTCAGATGAACACAGTGAGAAGAAACCACAGCAGTGAAATGTTGAAGTGTGATGCAGCTGAAGCGGTTCGGTTCTGTTCGCTTTGTGTACATGAAGTCATAAAAACCAAACATGTGACGGTTCACAGATGCGCATTAATATTTCAGAACTCCTAAAGTTCTTTACAGCCCCAGAAAACGGGAAAGAACTTCCTAAACAGGAAATAAACTAAGCAGCCGAAGCATTAACGAGGATTAAAGAACCACAACAACAACACAGCGGTCGGGTCGCAGCGCAGAAAGTTGCAGCTTTATTCGCCGTTAGCCTGCTAAAGCTAAAGCTAACTCCAACTCCCAGAACCGTTAATTAGCCGCAGAACGGCTAACGGCTAACCCCCGTCGGTCCGCGACGCGCCGCCGCGAGGCCCCGGCGGCGGAAAAAGCGCAGGTAATTGCGGTTATTTACCCGGTATCTCGTCCTCAGCCTCCCCTGCCATCTCTGCGGGACTTTAATCCGCTTTGCTCGGTGCTGTGGGCGTGTTTGGTGCCCCTCTTGTTTTCCACTCCGACAACCCGGAAGTAAACAAAACTTCTCCTAGGCTACGACGCTGATGACGTAGCCCTTAAAGGGGAAGCGTCCAATTCCTAAAGTCGTGATCAGCTGACGGTTGTTTGTTTATTTCTGCATTGATGGAAAGTAACGAAGTACATTTACACAAGTGACTGAGTATTCTATCCTACACTACTTTATAATCAGTCAAACTTTATTACAGACTCAGGGTCCAGATAAAAATCAACAACGATAATAATAATAAATCATTTAAAATAAAAAGACTGCAGAGACAAACATGATATAAACAAATAAAGCAGCAATTTATTGTTCATAGTTTAGGATACTTCTATCACCGTTATTAAAAAGAGCAGCCGTTTAGCCAAAGTGCTCTAAGACTAACATTATGAAGTTCAAATCTTGTTTATTCATTTAGCAAATTTCCCTAATTTAAATATTACAGTTAAAAGCCTACTATAGTATATAAAATACAAATG